AGTGGCAAACTTGAATAGGTGGCAACTTTGTTTGCACAGCTAAGGTGCTGAAAACAGGGAATCTCTCTCCTAATTACTTGCTGACAAGATTTGTAAAAACAGCCTCCTCTTCTCCCAGTCATCCACAACAGTATTCCTACCTGCAACCTTGGACTTCTCAGGCTCTGTGCTTAATCTATAGTTCTTCCGAGAAAATGTTGTTCCAGGAGCTCTTGATGTCATAATTCAGGTCAACTTGAATGGCCACTAATCTCAAAGCTGAAATAGGGGGAAAATTGACCAATTAGAAATGAAAACACTTGCAACAAAGAAGGATGCAACTATTCACAAAACTGGAAGAAAGTAGCAAGGTAACTATACACATTTTTTTGTATTTGCCCTGCTTCCAAATGTGTACATACTCTGGCATAAAACTCACTGCCTCTAATAATATACTATAAATTTGTTAAGAAAACCACTACAAAAACTCCAAGGCGTTTCACTGTCTGCAGCATGAATACTGGAGCGCATCTAGGTTAATATGTAGAAAATATTGCCTCATAAACTTAAAATGATTTCATTTAAGAAAAACTAGAAAAGAAGATCTGCATTTTTCCTAGTCGTAACAGAAAACTAGCAAAATAAGAGCCAAAAATGTTCACTGAAGACTGATATACATAAATAGAATGATTAGTTTAATGTATCTAAAGTTATGGTTTTAAAATGAGGGAATGCACAAAGCATAATCCCGGGATAGGGACCCTCCGGGTAGGTCTAATTAGGCCTAGCAGGGGTCCTAATACAGCCTCCTGGACCATTTCCCCCATACCACACATAAGTTGGGAGGCAGGTAAAGGTGTGGCTTTTACACTGAAGCAGGTTTCAAAGAGGTTTCAACATAAACCACCTGGAAATGCACTTCAAAAACAATGTCTCTTAGCACTCATCAATACTTAGAAGTGCGTATCCATGCGGGTTTCTACGGAAAGTGCTTTGAAGCACACTTCAAGGATGTTAACTGTTGTCCCCAAAGTTGAAGTCTTTGCATGGATGTCTGTCTGCTGGTGGTTCTTGGTCTACAGGACAGAAAAGTTTCCCCACCCCTGATATAGTTAAAAAACAAAGAAAGGGAGGGGGGAAGCCATCTGAACAGCAATAAATATCTATTGGCAAACACATCCCCCTTTTTTATGTAACAATCCACATGTATAGCAATACAAAAAAAGTTAATGCCTATATAGCCAAACAACTCTCAGGAGAGTTATATGACTAGTGTTCTGTTTTACGGGAGACTTGTGTTTGTCAATAATTGTTTCATTACTCTCTAGAGTTCAAAGTAATGGTTGCAACAGCAGCTGTAGGCTTTCTATCTATATAAACAGAGCATGATAGTCAGAACAAGACTCATATTTGTTTGCCTTAAAACAGAAACACAATGTATAATGATGTTATACAAAGACTGTGTAAGAACATGCAGTACAGTAGAATTCCTAAAGGTTTTCTGTTAATCAAACATGCATCCAAAAGATAACCTGTTGCCCTCCAGATGCTTTAAACTACAATTCTCATTATCCCTGACCATCGGCCATGCAGGGTAGGAGTGGTAGGAGTTGGCACTTAACAACATTTGGAAGGTCACAAGCCCTCCATCCATGTTGCTGCTGTATTAATTGATATGTTGCTTATATGCCAAAATGCCTTCTAAGTGGCTTATAACCTATCCTTTCCCTTTCCATGTATATTTTCTATTCCCATGAAGAACTGCCTTAGTATATCATATGTGGTCAGCTATTTTTCAGCCTGCAATTTTCAATCTTTTTTTCAGGTTCATTTCATCTACTATAAACTGAAGCAAATATTGAGGAACTTCACTTATTTTATATATCACTAGACACTGTTTTATCCATAAACTAAGACTATATACAACATCCGGTCACTGTCAGTCCCATTATATGCAGTAAGTCTATATCCTGAATCCCCAAACACTGGGCCATCATGTCTATCTCTTCTACATCCACATTAGCAGGAACATGTTCTTCCTTCCGAATAATATGAAAACATCAACTTACAATTCAGGATTACCTTTCACACTTCAACACAAAAAGTAACCTTGGCAACAGCAGCAAATACAGCTGACAGGCTAGATGGCAAGCAAGGAGAGTGTAGTAAGACTGGCAGAATTGTTTTCATTTACACTATGAAGCAGTTTAGTTTTACAGTGGACCAATTTTATTAGAATTTGTTTAATTTAGTGAGGAATTATCTCTAAAAATCCAAAAGCTGTAAGCGCACCTGCATTATGAATGACTTTTTTAAACAATAAAAGAACTTCACAAATAAAATGGCAAACAATACTAGGCGACCTTCCTATGCATCTGTTTTTGTTTGTTGCCTCAAAGTCAAAACAAACCAACTTCTGTGTATCTCATCTGCCTGGTCACCTGAAGATAACCTTAGGCAACCAAATAAGTGGTTATTTTCAAGGCTACATTACAGGGTTTTGCAATAATCTTTGATCTTGGAGACCTGACACTGAAAGTATACACAGATATTTCTTCCACTAGAAATAACAGAAAATGGTAGACCTCTTTATGAAGAATACATCTTTGAAAGCAGAGGTGGTCCTAGTTGCCAAGGACCTTCCCAGCACAATCCTACCCAGGCTTATTCAGAAGCAAATCTCAGTTCTGCTCACCATATCTTTAAAAGCATATGGAGGAGCTGGAAAAGGTACAGAAAAAGGCAACCAAAGAAATCAGTGAGTTGGAGCAACTCCCCTACAAGGAAATATTGCAATCAAGAGGAAGCATGACAGAGGTATATAAAATTATGCAAGCTGTAGAGAAAGGAAGTAGAGTTAAGTTTCCCCCATCTTTCACAACACCATAACCTGGGGTCATCTAATAATGAAAGTGAATAGTGGGTGATTTAGGACAGACAAAAGGAAGCACTTATTCACTCAGCACATGGAATTTACTGCCACAAGATGTGGTGACTACCACCAATTTAAATGGCTTTGAAAGGGAAGCACACAAATCCATGGAGGATAAGGCCATCAGTGGCCATGTTACCTCTAAGATCTCTGAATACCAGTTGTTTGGTGAACAACAGTGAAAAGGGGCTGTTACTCTCATGTTCTGTTTGTGGACTTTTCTGAGCATCTGGGGTGGCTGCTGTGGAAAACAAGATGCAGGGCCAGATAGGACTTTAGTCTGATCAAGCGCATCTTTTCTTATGTTCACTAGGTTCAGGTGGTCTTACTCCCAAAGAAGCATGCATAGGACTGCAGCCTGAGCCCTTCATGAGTTATATAAAACTGTCATTTGAAGGGTACAATCTGAATAAACAGAAGTTATTACTTTATATTAATTTTAATCCTACAATTATCTTGACTGCTGGAATATTTTGACTATCAGATTAACCATGTGACAATATGACAACCATTTATTTGCAAAAGGACTACACCGTAAATGGGGCAAAGGAAACTATGCAGATGTCAGCTTTGCTTCTAAGAAACAAATGTAGCTGAAAATCCATATGCCAATCCACTCCATATTACATTTAGAGTTTACCACAAGGATCTGAAACAGTGCTAGTTTCTCTGCAGAATACCATGCTGCAATAACTCTGGTCTTCAAGAGTTGTGAAAGCCTTGGAGCTATTTCTACACTGCATGGTAATTATTACTCCTAGTTTTCCACTGGTGGAGGTAATTTTTAAACCACCATGCACTACAACATCTGGATCACTGTCTGGCACCGCTGCAGCAGCTTCTACTGTTGCACATTCAAAGGTTTATTAAGAAAAGTATTTAATGATCTGATCCCATGCACACTTACTTGTGAGGAAAGTCCAGTGAACTAAAGAGTGCTTACTTCAGAGTAAACCTAGCATAAGATAAGGCAGCAAAGATGCAAACCCTGAGCCTAGTACAATCAGGCTGCAGTCCCATAACACTCACCGATGAGTATACCTCATTTAAATCAATGTGATTTCTGTGTAAGTGTATATAGGCTGGCGCTATGGTGACCACAGACTGCGCTGTCTGCTCAGAAGGACTCCCAGGTTAAGCAATGTGTGCATAGGATTAAAGGCTAGAACTCAGTGGGGTTTACGTTTGAGGCGGTACGCTGAAGCTCCCACTGACAACCTCCTCCGCGTAACTGAGGCTCCCCACGACACATCCGAGGGGAGATTGGCTCCCTCCCTCCGCATTCCTTTGGCGGAAACTTGAAATCAAACTGCTTCCCCACAGCCACCAGGGCTCCTCCGAGGTGGTGTCGGCGCTGCGCAGAGGGACGGTGCCGGGGACGGCAGGGAGGCGCGCAAAGGCGGGAGAAAAGGGGCACGGAAGATGCGCGCGCGCGGCGGCTCGAGGCACCTGGCGGCAGCCGCTCCCTGCCTGGAAAAGGCCTCCCGACGAACCCACGCCAAGGGCAGCGAGACCCGGCCAAGGACCGGCGCGGCGGCGGCGGCGGCCACGGCCACTCTGCGGGGCTGACCGCCGAGAGCTTCCCCGCGTGGCTGGAGGCAGCGAGGAGCGCCTTCCCTGAGTTGCCTTCCCTGAGCCGACCGGGCAGCCTGGAGCTCTTCTCGGGTCGGAGAGTTCGGCGCCGCGGCACTCTGCCCAAGCGGCTGACCCGGGCCTAGTCGCGGCCGCCGAGCCAGGCCTCTCGCAGGCGCCCCCCTTGGGCCCTCGCGCCCACCCCGGCCAGGGGCTCCCCGACCCCCGGAGCCCCGGCGAGACCCCTCCGCTCCTGCCTGCCTCTCTTTCCGCCGCTTTGACTCACCGCCGCCACCCCACGCCTGGCTCGCCCAGCCCCGGCAGCGGCTCCTCACAACATCCGCCCTGCTACGGAGCGTCGGCAGGGACACACAAAGCGGAGGGTTCAACCGCAGCAGGAGAATTGGGGCGGATCTCGCGCCGCCTGTGCGGGCGCCGCCCCCGAGAGCCGGCGGCACAGGCGGCGGCGTCAGGCTGCTCTCCCCGCTCCCTGGGACTGGGGGACTGACTCTTGTTCAAATTCAGACATGCATCCTCTCCTCGTTTCCCCCTGCTCGTCTCTGCCTCCCGCATTCTCCCTCACGGCCCAGAGCATCGCAGAGTTTCTGATATTCCGAGCACATACCCGCCGCTTCAGCTCCACCAGAATCCAACTGGGGTTTCCTGTTAATGACCGGTCCCCTCCCGCCCTTGGGTTTTACATGACAAGTACGTTTTATATTCCGCCTTTCTTCCGTAGGGTGCTTCCACATAGGGTCACCATAATGTAAACAGCTGGTTCACAAATCGTAATCAAGATGTGGACGACAGTTCTCGCTTAGAATTGTAGAGTTGGAGTGGGGAGGCACAAGGATCATCTAATCCAAGCATAGTTCCAGTTACAGATAGGTAGCCGTGTTGGTCTGCCATAGTCAAAACAAAAAAATTTCCTTCCAGTAGCACCTTAAAGACCAACTAAGTTAGTTCTTGGTATGAGCTTTCGTGTGCATCTGAAGAATGTATCTGAAGAAGTGTGCATGCACACGAAAGCTCATACCAAGAACTAACTTAGTTGGTCTTTAAGGTGCTACTGGAAGGAATTTTTTTTTTGTTTAGTCCAAGCATAGGCAAACTTGGCCCTCCAGATGCTTTGGGACTACAACTCCCATCATTCCTAGCTAACAGGACCAGTGGTCAGGGATGGTGGGAGTTGTAGTTCGAAAACATCTGGGGGGCTGAGTTTGCCTATGCCTGATCTAGTCCAACCCCCTGCAATGCAGGAATAATTTACCGGACGTGGGGCTCGGACCCACGACCCTGAGATTAATTTTTACCAGTTTCCCTCCAGAAATCAGATGAAATGATGGGGGCATGGGGATAGGCAAGCACCAATCCTACAATAAACATCATCTGGAAGCACCCTTAAGTACATTTTATATCCCAGCTTTCTTCAGTCATTGTGGAAGAAAGTACTATGGATTCCCAGCATCCAGGCATTAGTCAGACCCAAACTTGTTGATGGTTGCATCATGTGTCCTCAAATCTGCTTCACTAAAAAGGCAGTTTTCCATTACAGTGGTACCTCAGGTTACATACGCTTCAGGTTACATACACTTCAGGTTACAGACTCCGCTAACCCAGAAATAATGCTTCAGGTTAAGAACTTTGCTTCAGGATGAGAACAGAAATCATGCTCCGGCGGTGCAGCGGCAGCAGGAGGCCCCATTAGCTAAAGTGGTGCTTCAGGTTAAGAACAGTTTCAGGTTAAGACGGACCTCCGGAACGAATTAAGTACTTAACCCGAGGTACCACTGTAATTTGTTAGGAGGAGGACCTCAACTCAGTGGTATAGCATATGTTTTGCATACAGAAAGTCTGAAATTCAATCTCCAGGATCTCTATATAAACTAGAAGAGACCAAATCCTGGAGAGATGCTGTCCATCACTGTGGATTTTTTAAATTTAAATTTTTTTTTACAGCTTTATTAACCTTATCACAGAAGCTATCAAAGCAGCATACAATAAGTTAAAATAAGACTCTAACAAAAATAAACAATTTCTACAATTGTACATTTAATATCCCATAAAATGATTGTGTTATGCTTCAGGAAAAGACATCAGTAGCCATCTAAATATCAAGATGCTAGGCAACTGTCTAATTTCAGCTGGTAATGGATTTCTGTTTATTTATATACCAAATTAGATAGATCAGTGGTCTGACTCTGTATAAGGCAGCTTCCTATGTTCAGTAGCCTGACAGTCCCTGGTATTGGTGATCCCTTTAGGGAGGGTCCAGAGCTCTAGTGACATTCCCACAGCCCCACCCCACCCCCACCCCCGGGCAGAATTACCACTTGAGGATGCCACCAGCTAGCTACCGTGTATGTAAAGGAAGTCTTGAAACCTGTGGCATTAGTTCTGGTTAAATGTGGTTAGAATTCAGCTGCTTGAGAAATACATCTGCAAAGCCAATAATGGCTCATTCAATTTAGAGGATAGTCACCTAAGTTCTACGATACCCAATGCCCTCCAGATGTTGTTGGACTACAGCCTTGTCTCAGCTTGTGTTAGCAATGATCAAGGAGGATGGGAGCTGTCCAGCAATGTCTGGAGGGAATTGCAGATGGATATATCCATGCATTACTGTGCAGAATGGTATCAAATAGACTAATGGGCTTCAGTAGAAGATGCCTTCCGAGTTCTTAACAGAGTGACTCCAGCTTTTGGCTCTGGAGCTTTAAAAATGTATGCCCCTTTGGCTTTCCTTCTGATTTTATTAGACTCCCCACCAGGTTGCTGTTGTACTCTGTACTGTACTGTATGGAAACATCTAATTGCAGAATGAGATATAATCTCAACAGGAATAATATAAAAAAGGATCATGGCCTGTGAGCTGCCTTTTGGCACCTTTCCAAATCTCTCCCTATTAGTTTGTCTAATTTTTCCTGAGAAGTTGGAAGTTGATTTGTGTGTAGAAACACCCACACACCCACACCAAGTTGTTATATTTCACTGGCCACATACATATATAATTAGTAAATAAAGGACTTTATTTCTCAGCTGCAATTCACTTAAAGTTTCTTGCTTGCAGATGCCAGCTGTCCTGCAATCCTGTCCAGAGCTCTCTGCCACTGAGGAGTGTGTTATCTCCATCTTGGTCTTTCTCCACCATTTTGAGCTCTTATAAAGCCTGCAGCACTCTCTTAGCAACGCTTTGGCTTTCTATATTTGTTGTTACAACCACCCTTACTCATTCACTCAATTTTTGATGGCCCCTGGCCTATACAAATGTGTATGAGTGGATTATGTTTGTGTAGAACATCATACATTGTTTGCTACATGGGTTTTTTTTTAGGGCAACTTTTATTGATACATTAAAACTATGTATAGTTTATGCTCTATGTAAACTGAATGTTTTGACAAGTAAGCTGTGTGTGTGTGTGTGTGTGTGTGTGTGTGTGTAATAATGACATATGAGGTCCTAATCTTATAGTACAATTATTAGAGAATGTGATGTTTGTATAGACTAACCTACATATTTAAATAAAGAAATTCCTTCCAGTAGTACATTAGAGACCAACTAAGTTTGTTATTGGTATGAGCTTTCGTGTGCATGCACACTTCTTCAGATACCGTGCATGCACATGAAAGCTCATACCAATAACAAACTTAGTTGGTGTCTAAGGTGCTACTGGAAGGAATTTTTTTATTTTGTTTTGACTACGGCAGACCAACACCAGTTGGTCTACGGCTACCTACCAGTAACTACATATTTAAAAACACCCTAAAAATTGTCCATGTCTAATTTACAACCTCAGGGGCCAGAGGAGATCCATCACCAATCCTTATTTTGCTGAAATAATACACTGTTATACAGTAAGAAGTTTGCAATTAAATTTATCTCAGCCAAGGACAGGGTGAAATGAATTGAACTCTGCTTTCTCATTTTTCTATTATGCTCTGTACTACATAAAAAACAAAGCTGTAATATCTTAGATACTATGCTCTTGCATCTAACATGGCATTCATGCAAATATCAGGCATACTATCTCATTTACTAATAAGATTCATTTGATTTAAATGATGTTACAGAAACAAATTGTATTTTGAAGGAAGGTTCTAAAAGATCATTATAATACATGGTATATATTGGCAGGCAGAATCTAGCTTTAAGAAACTTGGGTAGAATATAAAAGTTATTGTCTGTCTGAATACTGGAATGAGCAAAGTGGACTAGTTTGAATTAGATGTAAAAGTGTGAGGCTATAATGCTATACATAATTAAATGGCAGGAAGCCTCATTAAACTCAGTGAGAGTTACTTCTGAGTATAGGACTGCACTGTGAGTCATCTAATTATCTCATAACCTCTTGATGAGAGATGTGAAAGATGTAGCCATCTAAACATTGCTGGACTACAACTCTCACCATTCCTGATCACTGCCAAACCTGGCTGGGGCTGATGGGTGTTGGTATTCAGTAACACCTGGAGGACCACATGTCAAACTCCCCCCCCCCCCCGTTCTTCATCATGCAGCCCTGTCACCCCCTTCTTGCTGGCATTCTGTGAGCCATTTCCGAAGAGTATAATCACACGCGTATAGTTGTATTGAGATATTCACCAGTCTGGTTTAATAAGCAGAAAAGCATCCAAACAGCAGCTGGAGTCTAATACATGATGCAAAAATACAATGAAACAAAATTGGCAGAAGCATGTTCTCCAGAGTGCTTAAACATAGCAGTTAAGGAGGTGCGTATCTGCAACCATTCACCCTAGAAATCATTTTTAAAATCAGATAGGATTTAAGAAGCATAAATAGAACTGCAGACCATACAGAGTTGCTGTGGAGGCTTAATTGAGCATACAAGGTATTTATTACCAACCTGTGTCCTAACAGCTACTTTCTGTTGGATTCTCTCTGTCGGATGTCTTTTGTCAGTGAAGTGAGACTATTTTCTAGTTCATTGTACTAACTGTGGATTCCAGATTTCTTTGCTATATATTTTTATATGAATTACACAGTCCTCCTGTTATCAGTTTGCCCTTCAGTTCCTCTTCATCAGTCCCTCGAAACCAGCATCGGAGTCTTGCCCCTTTCAGGAATTTCATCTGGTATAGTGTCTTTAATGTCTGCAGTAATAGCAGATCAAGGAACATGCAAAAAAATATTATTTAAGAATTTTTCCTTGTTCCAGATGCCAAGTACTTATCTTTCCATGGAATAAGAAATGCAGTTCTCTATTTATTTTTTTAAAGGTAATGTTTTCTTTCCTAGGACAGGTTACGTTCAACCAATCACAATGAACTAACACACACACACACACACACACACACACACACAATTTTCCCACTCAGATACAAATATCTGCAAAATTAGAAGAGTGGGTTGGAAGTTTAAACTTCCATAAAAGTGCTGGGAAGGTGGGAAGCATACTGTAGACAATAAAATCCTAATTATTTTCTCTACATGCAAGTGGGTAAGGCAGGTGGGGCAGGGTAGAGGGAATGAACAGAGAAATGAGACAGTGAGAATAATGTTCCCATATATTCCGATATATTCAGTGCTGCTGTTAAAGTCTCGACACATTGCAATACTCCCCATTGTCCCGCCCCATCTCCCCATTTCTAGGTAATGGTCTTCCTCACAGGAAGGGAGAAATGCTCTTCTTGAATCTACAGCTGTTCATTTCAAAATGAAAGTGGGTTGTTGGCTGGCATGGTCATTTTGCTTTTGGTGATTACTGGTCCTCTGCTTAATTTTTCACTGATTTCATGCTGTATTTGGTGGTGATGTTGCGTCCTGATACACTACGATACTGCCCATTTTCCGTCCTTGATTTACCATTATTGGTGATGATGAGCTCCACAGGAACAGAGGCCGTGACTACCTTCATGATCACCTGGATGTTCAATTCTGATTTTTTGGGGACCTTGGCTGGCATGGTCACCTCGACTTTGTTTAATGTAGTAAAAGAGTCAATCTTTCCTTTTTCTACTGTCAGGTTGGTGCTCGGATCTATGCTTAAACTGAAACTCTCATTTATTTGAAGGGTAGGGACTGCTAATTTGAAGCTGTGGCTTGTGAACATTTCATAGGTTCGACTGCTGGTGGTGGTGAATGTCTGCTCTGTTTCCGTGGTGTTGATACAATTTATCTCATCAATCATCACATCCCTCTCACTCTCCAAGTTCATGCGGTCCCATAAGATCCTGCTAGTGATAACAGGCCGGCCACTTTTAAGGGGATACACGTGGGAACACTTATCATGGAAATGATACAAAGGGCCATAGTTCTCAAGCTTCGTTCCTTCTCGAGCTATATAGTACCAACCACCTCTCCTTGGATGTTCATAGAGGAGCCAGGCACCTTTCTGGACAATATGGGAAGACGCCTTGTCATTGAAATACCCATAACTTAGGTTGGTTTCCTCTTTTATCACTTTGCTTATCCCTTCATAGTTAGGGTGCTCATAAAGTGTGATCTGAGGATCTTCCAAGTCCTCAGTGACTAGTTGGAGAGAAGAAATGTTATTACTTAACTGGATGTGCTTGTGTTCACCTTCTTCATATGCAAAACCCACACCTTTATAGTTGGGATCACGGAAGACCAGCCAAGGTTGTCCAATCACCTTAAGGGAAGAAATGCAGTCCCCAAAGTCTACACTACGTAGGTCAGGAACACTGCAAGTGAATTCTTTCCTGAACCCCTCAAAGTCTTCCTCTTCATAAACAATAATTTTATTCATCTTTAGCTGTTTGGAGAGGGAGAAATGGGCAACTTTTCTGGATGTTTAGCAGGTCGAAGATGGAGAGGTTTTCCTCAACAGGGATTCAGTCTGCACGAGAGGAAAAACAGAAAAACATACCCTTAGAAGCACATGTAGCAGCATGTACACATTTGACAGATGAATAGGGGGATGTTATTATTTATTTATTGACAATATTTTTTACACACTTTTCAGGGCACCCTCACAACATGGCCTACAAGGCTCTAAAAAAGGGGTGGCTAACCTTTTCTAACCTGAGTCACACATTGTCAGCTATCCACCCCATGCCAGTGGTAGGTGTGCTCAAAATGAGTGTGGCTCACCTGCACACACCTCCCTGCTTGCAAAGGTTTCCAAAAACCAGATGTTCAAAGAGTAGGGGGCTGTTTGAAAGCCCTTTGTAAACAACAGCTGCTTTTTAAACCTCCAATGTTCAGAAGTTTAAGGAACAGCATGGGGCTGCTTGCAAAGGGCTTTCAAAGTACAAGACTTCAAGCATCAACTACTTGTCAAATTGGACCTGCCAGGTGTGGGGAGATCCAACCCCCTCTGGCCAGAAAAGGTTCTCTACCCCTGCTGCAGACAATACTGAGCTAGATTGACCAATGAGCCTTGACTCAATGTAAGGCAACTTCCTATGTTCCTGTGGTTACTATGCTCTTATAAGCTTTCGGTGCCAACTGAAGGCCTATTCACTGCCCCAGATTGAATCTGTGGCTGTGTATGCATTACCATTTACTCCAGCTCTACTGCGCAGCCACCATTGGCGTTTGAAGCAGAGTATGCATGACATTAGCCACAATCCATATACATCCTGTAACTACTTGAGGAATACTGCTGTTTGGTGTGTTTTCCCTCAAAGTAGCTCCTATTTGGTTTTAAAATGTAAGCTGCAGTTAATCTGAGGTACACAATGGAGACATCTGATACACAAGCGCAAATGACAGCACATGCGCAGATGACAGCTTAACTGAATACTTTGGAGGGGTTTTGCAGATATGGGGAACAAATCAGATAATATGCACTGGATGATGAAATCGCTGCCCCCTCTCTAGTGTGTACACCACCATAAAAATATGTCATGAAACGCTGGGGTGGGGAGAATGACATTTAAGCCACTAATAGGTATTATTTGGCCTGTGCATTTGCTCATGCCTGCTTTATAGTTTTTTAAACTACAATTGAATCATGTTTTATTAGTATTGTACCCAGCTTTGGGATTAGTTTATAATAAAAAGTGGGAAACAACGTTTATGTATGCAGGCACAGAGCATGCAGACATTCTTACACACACACACACACACACACACACACACACACACTCAAAAACATGCACTCATACACACATGCAGGAACACAGCCTATTCTCTCTCGTACACAGACAGTTTCCTCCTCTTCTGCCCCATTATGGGGAAGAGAGAAGAGAAAACTTTCTTTTGCATTCTCGGAAGGGAAAGAGACAGCGTCCCACTCCACAAAGATGTCCTGTTGCCAGGTTAAAGGACTGCTTAAAGAATCAGTGGAGAAAAGCAGCTTTTGTGTTTGCTGCAGTGGGGCCCATTTCTCTCTTTCCCATAGGAATCAACATACACTTAGTTTGAATATTCTTTGGAAGGTCCTCATTTATGATCAGCCTGTTACGCTCCTACCTATACGAAGGGGTTTCCTAAAGAGTTGCTGAGACAGATGCATTTATTTCATAATTCGTTTCATAAAATTTATGAAAACAGCTTGGTTGTAAAAAAACAAAAAACCCTCAAAGTGGTTTACGAAATAGGAAAGCTATTTATCCCAATGGGTGGCAAATTGCAACATTACATCTCTCTACCTCGGTTTTTAGCCACTGGGTCATGTTTTTGCCCTTTACAATCTGTCTCTGCTCTGTTCTGTGCTATAGACAGCTGAACCGTCTGACATTTCTGCAAACCAAGAGAAACACATGAGTCGAGTCTCATGTTTCTGCATTTCAAACAACCTAGAGCTTGACATGCATTCGTGTAAGAACATATATCCCGGGAAGAAGTGGGAAAGTGAGAGATGTGGAGAAGGGTGGGAAGAGGGGAAGAGTTAGAGAGGGAGGAAAGCGTATTGAAAAGATAAAATGGAGGGAAATGAAGGGAACAAGAAGAAGAAGAAGAAGAGTTTGGATTTGATATCCCGCCTTTCACTCCCCTTCAGGAGTCTCAAAGCGGCTAACAATCTCCTTTCCCTTCCTCCCCCGCAACAAACACTCTGTGAGGTGAGTGGGGCTGAGAGACTTCAAAGAAGTGTGACTGGCCCAAGGTCACCCAGCAGCTGCATGTGGAGGAGCGGAGACGCGAACCCGGTTACCCAGATTACGTGACTACTGCTCTTAACCACTACACCACACTGGCTCTCACAAGAGAATGGAGCTGAGGGAAGCTGAGGAAGAGAAACGGAAGCGGTCAGAGAACGTAACCAGAGGATAGGTAGACAGAAAGATGAAAACAAAGAGGTGACAAATAGAGGGAAAGGCAGCAGGAGGATGCTGTGCTCTGGCAGCTCCACCTGCAACTTGGCCTACAGCTGCCCCAGGACTTCTGCAGGTAACAGTAAAATTATCATCATCATCATTAACATCACTGGTATAGCCTTAATTAATAAAAGTAAAACATTTATGTGCACATAGAGATAAACTCCCCATCCCACACTTTTTTGGCAGCGAGCTACAAGCCTGTGCGAGAGATACTTGTACCCACCTTGTTAGGTGATCTGCACAAGCAGCCAGCCTTTCTCAGCAGCCTGGAGCTCTCAGGAGTCCTCCTGCTAGGTTTATATAAGGCGGGCATGTAATAAACATGGAACCAATTAGGATGTTGTAAGGATTGCCTCTGCCTATAAACATTGCAGCCAGTCTGAAGAATGCAAGTAAAGGAAGAATTTCAGCACAGCCCAACCCACAAGCTGTCAAGAGACAAATCCTGGAGCCAGAATTTGACCGATTTATGAATTCAGTTTTCTCGCCAATCTGTATGAAAACCAACATGTGTGCAGCTCCATTTGCTTTCAGACAGAGGCCGATAAAAATGTGCCGCTCACAGGCAGATTTTTTGCTCTGTTCCTCATCAGTGAGAGAGAGAGAGAGAGAGAGAGAGAGAGAGAGAAAGAAAGAAAGAAAGAAAGAAAGAAAGAAAGAAAGAAAGAAAGAAAGATTCCATCCTTCTAATTTCACTTACAGTTGAGGATAACTGGGGAAGAAAAAGAACAGTATTGAGCTTACCATACTCTGCTATTTTGATGGACAGAGTTCAGCTGAGGGTTAACTCAGGGGTAGGCAACCTAAGGCCCGGGGGCCAGATGCGGCCCAATCGCCTTCTAAATCCGGCCTGTGGACGATCCGGGAATCAGCGTGTTTTTACATGAGTAGAATGTATGCTTTTATTTAACATGCATCTCTGGGTTATTTGTTGGGCATAGGAATTCATTCCCCCCCCCCAATATAGTCCAGCCCACCACATGGTCTGAGGGACGGTGGACCGGCCCACGGCTAAAAAAGGTTGCTGATCCCTGGGTTAAATCATCACTCTGCTGCTGCTTCCTTCCCACTGCCCTCTGACGAACAGTGGGAATTTCTAGGTACACACTGCAGCTCAGCCTTTGCCAAACTGGTGTCCACTAGTTGTTTTTGACTGCAACTCCCAGCAGCCCCCATCCAGCATGGACTTGCTAGAGTCGAAAAACATCTGGAGGGCAACAATTTGCCGCCCACAATAAAGGCAGGAAAAAGAAAACGAGGAAAATGACAGTAGCTGGTTACATACTTGGTATACAACGTGCCAGAAGCAATGAAGCTAGCTGCACAATTCTGCCAGCCAAAAACGTTTTGCCAACACGTGAGGACAATCCTTTCCTGGAACGATTGTGCTTCTACTTCCAACCCATGTGGATTCTATAAATTGTGAGCATTTCTCTCACATACATAGCTACAGGCTGTTTATTTATTTATTTATATTTCTGCATTCATGTCCCATTATTCTTCCAATGAACATACATGGTTCTTGACCATCCCCATTTTATCCTCACACCAAATGTGTGAGATAGATTAGGCTGAGAGGTAGTGACTACTTCAAGGGCACCTAGTCTAGTTCATGACTGAGAGGGGATTTGATTCTGGTTCTTCCCAGCTCTAGTCCAGCACTCTAAACCAGGGGTCAGCAACCTTTTTCAGCTGTGGGCTGGTCCACTGTCCCTCAGACCATGTGGTTGGCTGGACTATATTTTTTGGGGGGAAATGAACGAATTCCTATGCCCCACAAATAACCTGGATTGAGAAGGCTATTGAGCCGGATTCGGCCCCTGGGCCTCAGCTTGCCTACCCCTACTCTAAACACATCACTGGCTCCCCTCCCCACAAAATTTCTGCTTTCTTACTTGAAGAGAAGGCCACAATATTTGGGGGGGGGAGGGGGGCTTCACTGAGCTAAACCTCTGGTTACTCCCATTCCTGAAATTCTGTTTGTGGAATTCATTCAGGGTCTAGACATTGGGTTACCTGAAATTTCCCACAGCATCAAACCCATTTTGGAGAAGCATCACGAGTGCCACCTAGTGGGGTTGCAGATTTTCAACTTTTTCTGTTGGACTTCCTAAGGCTGTTCACATAAGAAAACAATTTTTACTATATTCCAGAAAGTTTCAACCCAGTCTGTTACTGATGGCATTGTACTTTTTCCAGGCTACCTTTTGCAATGCCACAGCTAGTCAATTTAAAACATTTTGCAAATCAACGTCACGCACTGTACCTTTCAAATAATAATATTTTAGAGTAACTTAACAATAAATAACCAGCCATTTCTAATATTTCTAACAGCATGCCAATAAATTTGAATTACTGGGCAACTCCAAAAAAAATGTAAGCTATCTGCTTAGTTCACATCACAGCTCCAGCATTTATTTGAGAATATACCTGCACTGATATTGGACTTCATGGGCATTTTCCTTGAAATCTGTAGTTGTAATACTGTCTTGGTATTCTAACCAAAACCCATTTCCATTCCTTCTCTGTTAATTCTTGTCAAATATTTTAGCCCTTTTTAATAAATGTACCAGTCTTCTTATCCAATTTAATAATTATAATATAGGCCTTACCAATTAAACCCTTATCTTGTTCTGATGCTAGTAATATTTCAAATTCTGTTTCCGCTCTCAAAGGTCCACATTTCCTTAATAAACAATATGGTGCTTCTCTTATTTGAAAATACTGATACAACTGCAGAGAAAATCAGTCAACGTATTAGTAATTTTTACATAGTATTTAAACCCGCTGCCTAGGTTGTTTTTTTTAATTCAGTCTAGTTCTGCTTTATACAAAGATGTAAGATCACTGAGCATGTCGCCTGCATGTGAGATGATTTCATTGTAAAATAAGGAAGTATGAGGAGACAAAAGCAAGGTAAATTTATTCTTTAACTTATACCAAACCAATACACTGGTAAAAACATAAGAGTCATAGAATTGTAGACTTGAAAGGGACTCTGAGGGCCATCCAGCCGAAGAAACATTCTAAAAATCCTTTTTAACCTCTCTTGCAAGCCTGAGTTAATTCTAAGCTTTGGCCCACCCGACTTTTCCCTTGCAACTGTTGACTACTCATGTATCCTTCGTAATTTCTCCTTTCTTCCATTTCTTATACCTGAAGCTCATCTGAAAGCTCCTTATGCAGCCACACCAGTTTCTTTAGGTGCCTCACACTTTAATTTTTTGTTGGAATGGTGCCTTCAATATTTTACCTTTAAGAAACTCCTATCCATCTTGAACTTCCTTCTCTTTGAGTATATTTTACCATTGGATGTCACACAGTAGTTCCTTCGGGTTTTTGAAATCAGTCTTCTTAAAGTCTAGAGTGCATGTCCGACTACACTCAGCTTTCCTTTGACTCTGTATCATGAAACAGAGGACATGATCACTTCCTCCCAGGTTTCCCTGTACTTTCACTTTATTGATCAGTTCCTCCCTTTTGGTGAGGACCAGGTCCAAGAGAGATGACCCCCCCCCCTTTGTTGCTTCTTCCACCTTCTGGGAAATGAAATTGAGGCAATGGAGGAATTTGTTTGACCTTCCATCATCGGCAGAGTTTGAGTTCCAGCAGATATTGGGGTAGTTGAAGTTTCCCATGACAACTGTATCTCATCTTTTTGAATGTCTGGCAATATGCTCTAGGAAGACATTATCCAAGTCCTCAGTAAGGTCACTGTTGTTTCCCTCTTCTACAATTTTTACCCAGATGCTCTCAATCTGCCTTCCATGCTCCAAGTCATGGACCTCTTCACAAGTGTACACATCCTTTACTTATAATGCTACTCCTCCCCCCTTCCTGTTTGATCTTTTCCTTTTGAACAGGTTGTCCTCTCAATTTCTACATTCCAGTCATGAGTCTTATCCCATCAGGTTTCAATAATGCCTGTTAAGTCACATTTGTATCCTGTATTATGAGCTCAAGTTCTTCTTGCTTGTTTCCAATACTCTGTGCATTTGTGTAAACAAAACTGAAATCACGAGTCATCCCCCTGCACGCTGCTGCCTCTGTCCCCTTCCATAGAGAGTCACCTGCCGCCACCACGTCTCTCCTTTCTTTGGGGAACCACAGAAGACGGACAGTACTCTATTAGCAATCTGTGCCCTGTATTCTTCTTTAACAAAGGATACAAACAAAAATGCTTGGACTGATGGAACAATCAGAATAGCACAACTGCTCCCATGGTATTAAAAAACTTAAAACAAATTGCGGTCATAAGAGTAAGGTGCTTCCTAAAAATATTTAACTGAAGGCCAGGATAAAGAGTTACATCATCAGCCTGCAATGGAAACTGTATAATGAAGGTGCCAGACACATCTCTGTGGTGAGGGAAGCCTGCAAATTAGGGGCTGCCACAGAGAATGCCTTCTCTCAAGCCACCCCCTGAAAATTCTGAAAAAGTTGAACTACCAAGAGGGGCTCTTCTGCTATTGAGCAAATGGGTACCTTCCAGGCAAAATGGGCTGCTCAATATGTCCCATTCATTTCCCAGAGATACTAGCACCATCAAGCAGGCAAGGGTGTAGCTAGCTGCTCCGGCACCCGGAGCGGTGGGGGCAGGGCAATCCATGCACTGGGGCGGTTTTGGCAATCCGCCCAGGGGGGTGGCGTGGTGAGCTGCCCATGGAGTTTGCCTGGTGGACACAAGCCCCATGCTGCCATTTCAGGCAGCGCAGGGCCCTAAGCCACATCACTCCCAGGAGCATAGCTGTCAACCTTCCCCCCTTTTTTTGCGGGAAATTACCTTATTCCAGCGCCGTTTCCTGCTGCTTCCCGCTGCTATCCCGGATTGTTAGATATCCCGTAGACTGTCCCCGGGACAGGTGAGGCTGCTGATCCCTTATTTTCAAATCTGAAAGTTGACAGCTATGCCCAGGAGTGATGGGTGGCTTGGGCGTGCTGGCCAGGCCAGGCCCCGTGGTAAGTGCCGACCCCCGTGGTGTGCCATTTTGTCACCCCCCTCAAGGATGACACCCGGGGTGAGCCACACACCCTGCACCCCCCTTCCTATGCCCCTGCAAGCAGGTACTCCTGCTATCTCTTCAGCTGGACGCCATAAATCACTTCCTAAGGCCATAGCTAAGGGGAAATGAAGGCACCCGTGTTTCAGTTGTGTAATTCAAATTGAAAGCTGTTTTAGTGTCTTTCTGCTGAGCACAATTGCAACATTCCATAAGCACATTGGGGCTGTCTCTTTTATGATGGATGTTTAATATGACCCAACAATCATGACCCAACAGTTTCTGAGAACAAAAATCCCCAGGGAAGCACAATAAAATGTTACATCTGCTTTTAATTAAAAGCCACACTGTTGCTGCCACGTTCAGAAGAAATGCAAACGTTTGCTGGGGATGCTTTTCTAAAGGCACCATCTGAGTGGAAGAAGGGCAAGTACAGATGACTAGGCATTATCAGGGGCAGCACCCAGGCTATGGACCTTCATCTCCTTGAAGCCACTTTAGGCTGAAATCGTCCTATGTTCTGATGGCAATGCAAAACACTTCCACCTCACTTCCCATGCTTCTCTTTATGAGTTAGTAATAAGGGGAAAGAAGACTAACTAGGCACACAATAACACACATCCCACTGATTTCAGTAAAAGCGATTTAAACATTTTCTTAACTCTCCCACTAAAAATGCTTTACTTTGACTGAAATGTGTCACTTACGGGCGGGGGGAGGTTAATTCTTATCCCAATCTGTACCTGAGCTGGGATTTTAAAATGTTAAAATATGGTTTTATTGTCGGATGCTTTTACTGTTAATCACTTCAGGATGTTTCATGGGAAGCAACTGATAAATGAAATAAATAAATAACAGTGCGCTTTTTCTTAGTTTTAATGTGACATTTTGCCATTTATTTTCATGGATATGCTCTACTTATTTTATATTTTGAGTCATTATATTAGTACTATTAAAATCCACAATTAAACATTAAATAAAATACACAGAAAAAAATATGAAGGAGGCATGCATAAAGGAAGGGATGTTCATAAAAAATTAGCAGATAATGCCAAGCTGTAAAGGGTAGCTAAGACCTTAGAAGACTGAAAAAGGAACTGAGATTTTCATGACAGGGCGGAGAACTACTAAAAAACTAACAATGAACTTCAGCAGAGATAAATGTAAGGTTCTGTATTTGCACAAATATGTTATTCATTTATATTAAGGAATGAGGATGTGTGATACCTGAGTTGATAATGGTACATGTGAAAATGATCTATGGCAGGCATCCCCAAACTTGGCCCTCCAGCTGTTTTAGGACTACAACTCCCATCATCCCTAGCTAACAGGACTAGTGGTCAGGGATGATGGGGATTGTAGTCCCAAAACAGCTGGAGGGCTGAGTTTGGGGATGCCTGACCTATGGTTTCTAGCAGGCCACAAGTTAACAGGAGTAGGCAGCAACTAAAAAGGCTAATTAAATTTTAGGCTGCAACAATGAACATATAGTGTCCAGAGCACAAGAGTAATAGTACAACTCTAACCTGGTTTGGTCAGACTTCACCTGGAAGATAGTGTCCGTTTCTGGGTTCTGCAGTTTTAGGATAACTGAAAAACTGGAATGTGTCTAGGGGATGTAAACAAAGATGGTGATGGATTTGCAGACCATGTTCTTGGAGGAGCATAGAAAAGTCCTCCTGGATAAAGACAATAGCCCACCTAGTCCTGAATCCTATTCTCACAGTGGCCACACAGTGCAGGAGGATTCTATGCAAACCCCCTCCTGATTCACCCCCTCTATATAATACACTCACTGTTATTATATATCAATATACAGCTCTGCAAATTATTTTGACTAGGGTCTGAACAGGACCTGGATTTGTTGTAGGGTTGCCATGTGTCCTCTTTTTCCAGGATATGTCCTCTTTGTTGTGGGTATGTAAAATAAGTGTCGTCATAGCGATCCAAAGTTAAAAAGTAGAAGTTGGCAAATGTGTCCTCTTTTTTGATCTTCAAAATATGGCAACCCTAGAAGATACCATAACATGGTTGCCAGCTTTCACATTAGTGGACAAAAATGTCAGGACTTGTAATAAAGCTATGAGAATATTTAGTTTCTATCCACTCATGGAGATGTGAGTAGCCATAACACCTTGCTTCTTCATCTCATTTTAACAACTACAACTGCCTCAGCATCTTGTCAGCTCCCTTGGCTGGGAAGTGTGAAGAAGAGCAAAAGAGCCTCATTTTGCCTGCCCTTAATCACGTCCAGCTGAGCAACAGCCTTTCTCAACAGCCTTAGCTTTAAGAACAGCAAAAGCAGCTGGAAGAGAGGAGTTTTGTGTGACCTGGGGAGGGGGGGGGATCTTTTAATAATTTCATAAACTATGTGCCCCTGCTGCTCAATTTGATCTTTTTACAAGAATTTTTATATATTGCGGTATCTTATGTATTGTAATTTTGCTGTTATCTTTATAATTTAAGTAATGATTTATTGTAATTGCTGATGGTGGATTTCTATTTAATTGTTGGTATTTTGAAATTTAATTTTATAGGGTACTATTATATTCTAATGGGACTGTTGAATATTACTTTATTGGATATAAGTTGCTGATTTTAAGCCATATTTTTTTATTTGCCTTATTTGTGTTGGATTGGATTGTTAATAAGATGTGTGATCTGTGTTGTTTAATTTTGTTGTTTCTTCAGCTTGTAAACTGCCTTCTGTAGAGCAATATAGAAAGGTGGTATACAAATTAAAGTGAAATTAAAACAAGGCTGCTAGGTTGAGTAAGAAAATACTAAAATAAAATAAAATCAGATAGCTGATCAAAGTGCTTACTTTTTTAATCCAGTGACGGCTCATTTCATCCTTCCTGTTTGGGAAGCATTTTCAACAACTAAAGTTGGCAGCTCTGCATCTGAGCCTTAAAGCTGCCTTTCTTTCTTTTCAAAAAATGTTCAGCTCTAGAACTCCCATCCTGCAGCTACAAGCACGTTTACCTGATTCAGTACAATGCTGCCCTTTGGTAACATGACTGCTGTTGATCCAGAGCATACAAATTAGAATGTGTCACAGCCACAACAAAAAAGGACGTCCTGACTTAGTTAACTTCTTCTCTTGCTGTTCCAAGCGTTTCCTTCCTTTTTCACCAAATCCATTACTACCCAACCTGGAAGAAAAGGAAAGATAACCAGAAATGAGTACAAATGAATACAGTGGTACCTCGGGTTACATACACTTCAGGTTACATACGCTTCAGGTTACAGACTCCGCTAACCCAGAAATAGTACCTCGGGTTAAGAACTTTGCTTCAGGATGAAAGCAGAAATCGTGCAGCGGCGGTGCGGCAGCAGCAGGAGGCCCCATTAGCTAAAGTGGTGCTTCAGGTTAAGAACAGTTTCAGGTTAAGAACGGACCTCCGGAACGAATTAAGTGTTGGAGGGGGATTTCCAGCCAGTGGCAGAGGACAGAGTGACTCCAGGAGACATAGGTGTAAAAACCCAAACAAAAACGAAGACTTTATTACTAAGCAAATAAACACAAACTCTGGTGGATGTTATTCCTGCAGGCAGGCAACAAAACTCAGCTTTTTTCCTTTATAGCAACGGTCACCTGCAGCCAATTAATCCCAGAAACTTCTTAAAGGTATACACACATGTTTCTGTGCCGAATGTCCTCTAACATTAAGTACTTAACCTGAGGTACTGTACCACTTTACCAGGATCTGAAGCTGCAGTTTTTATGAGTGGGCTGCAATGCTACCTTCTGTCTTCATATCCTATGATATGAAGTGAGCAGCAGAGAGAGGAAGGATCCAGTGATTTAACTTAAGGTAATGAAGTGAGTGATATTTTTTAAGGTTATGCAGGAGCTGGACATATGTGACTGAGGCAGGGGAAGGGAATCTCAGGCCCAAAAGCCGAATGCAGCCCTCCAACCCTCAGGACTCTCCTTACTTAGGTTGTATTTCCTCTCTCCCGCTTCCTCACTGACACTGTTCCACACCCTCAAGTGTGTTTGCTTGGCTGCAATGTATCCTTGAGGCGAGCAAGAAGCATCATCGCAACTTCTTTCTTTCTTTCCTTCTCTTCCTATGTCCAAGACACCATAGCTTTAATTGAATCTGGCAAGTCTGTAGCATGTCTTCAGTCGGCCAGGAGCAAATCTGGTGGGATGAACTGGGTGGTTACACAACTCTCAATCTCTATGTTGGACCTAAGTAAGAGCAGGAGGAGAGCGTGCTAGCAGAATGGAAAGTTTTACTGGCTTCAGCTTTTGGCCTGACATCATGTGCTCAAACCATTTTATTCCCATGTAAAGGAACTGGAAACAGCAATTTCCCTTTTCTTTTAACCACCCTCTCTGTTTCTGGATGGAAGTGTGTGTGATGTCAGCATAAATGTGTGTATTTGTTATGTTGGAATCTGCTTATAAAGATCAAACTCTTCTGGTGACAAGTTGTAAGGTCAGATATGCTCTGAGAAACCTGCCCTTAACCCTTTGCCATTCAGTCAAAATACTCCTCCCATCCTGCCACTTCACTTCTTTGGCCTCAGGAGTGACAACAGCAAAGCAATCCTATCAGTTTCCCGGAAGGCAAGGTTAGTTCTCTCTCCCACCCTTTATCAGCACTTACCACAGAACAGTCAGGCTGGGACAGGTCTCCATGAGGTGGCGGATGAAAGGCACAGAAACCTCTGAGAAGGAGTTGTCTCGAAGGTTTAGGGTGTGGAGCGTGTGGCTGGTGCTCAGAATGGTGCAAAGTTCTTGGGCGCAAGCATCTGTGAGGTAATTCTCATTGAGACTGCCAGGGACAAAATGGACGCAAGGTCATAGGCAGCTCACACACTACATCTAAGCACTATTATCCTTTCCTCAAAGCTTTGGTGAGAACAGACTCAAAGGAATATATAGTTACAAGCAAGCTATTATTCAGTCTACTTCCAGAATTTAATGTGCAACTCGAAGCCAAGTTGCCAGCTTGAATAGTCAGTATGAGGAATACCTAACATTCCTCTTTCCTCATTGCCTTATGTGCCAGAAGGCATACTAGGAAGCTACTCAGCCAGAGTGCTTTCCTCCCCCCACTTTACTTGGAAGTGGGACTTGAGGAGTCATTAAGAGGAAATTATAAGTAGTTGAGCTCTGTATCTCCTGGAGACAACTTGTCTGCTGATGTGGAGCTGTCCCTGGTCCTGTTGGTCTTGTTCCCAGACCTAACTCTGTCTTTGCATCCTGCTCTCAGCACCAGTGTCTGGCTACTAGTGCCTAAAAACCCTTCCCACTGTGAAATTTCTCTCTCACTGCCAGATAGTTGCACCCAGACTCCCACAGACCCTGCACCCCATTGGAATCGTGTGCAGATAGCAAATAATCTGAACTCCAAGCCCACAAAGATGTCATACATACACCCAACTTTTTGTATGTGTCTCTGCTCCCTTGTTACTTACTTTAGAGTAGTCACATTACAGTCTAGTTCCTTCAGAGTGGCACAGAGAACATGCACTCCTGAGTTTCCAAGTTTGTTACTTCCAAAGCTACAATGAGAAAGAGAGAGAATGAGAAAGATGAAAAAAGATTCAGGACTGATTCTTCAAAATCTAGGAGGAATATAAGAAGGTGGGTCTGCATAGTTGGAACTGGACCATCCAATGTAGAAACTTAATGGCTCACACAGAAGTGTGATACCTCCACTTCCTTATGAAAAGAGCAGGCTTCTAGCCATTTACAGAGAAATACTTGAAAATTAGGGATTACGAAAAGTTTGTGTATGAGGAAGTGGTTTTTTGAGGGTGCTATGGGCAAGAAGGATCCCACGCTCTATTCCCTTCCTTACCCCTACACACTTATTGCTCCCCAATGCGTTCCTTCTGTTCTCCAATCATAGTACTGGTTCTGGTCCAAAAACAACCACAAGCCAGAATTCTATCATAACTAAAATGTAGCTGTAATACACACTGGAATCTATGGAGCAATTTGTTTTGACTGAACACACAGAGATTTCTAATTGCAGGTTTTTGAGTTCTGTGAAAATCTAGATCGGCCAAACAGATGGGCACTCTTACCACAGTGCCAACCAATTCTAGGTGTTAGAGAACAGAACAAAGCTTTTATGGGGAAGGCTGGCACCTGTGTACTTAGCGGAAAAATAACACACCTTCCAAGCACTCCTATGCATAGCTACTGAAGGGTCCTATTGAGTTCAAGGAGATTTACACCCAGGTAGGTGTGTATGGGAATATAGCCTTCATTTCCTTATTTCAAACTTTCTATTGAGAAATAGAATGGTGACCAAGAACACATTAGTTACACCACCATAAACATTTATTTTTCCAAGCCCAGTATGCATCTCACAACTTCGTGCATGACTTAGGATTTTCAAGCCAGGGAAACCAGGGGCTTTTCGCCTTCCTGTCCATACTATTCTAGGCAGGGGGACAAGAAGACTGCATGAGCTTTTGAGCCAAAGATGGAGACTGGATGGGATTTTGAGCCATGGTTACTGACAGCAAGGCATTTATACAAGGCATATATTGCCACATTTATTTCATATGGTTTCAGAAATGGTGAAGAAGTGAATACATGGCTATTCCACCACTACAACACAGTGTGCTTGAGTCTGGGAGTGTCTATCCTCCTTTGACAAGTAATCCTGGTAACAAAGGGAAAAACAAATCAGTGCCCAACCCAAAGGCTCTCCACTCAAATCCTGAAATGCCTGGCATTTGCTGTTCCTAAAAAACAATATGATGGCATCACTTACTTTAAAGTTGTACAGTTTTTTATTCCTGGAGCCAAAGCTCTCATGTGGTAAGACTTCAGCCTGCAAAACGTTAGATCAATGGAGTGATCCTCGATTTTACTGTGCTGCAAGCAGAACGCCAAAACCCTGCAGTCCAGCACCGAGAGCATCTGGTCAGAAAGGTTAATATTCTGGAAATGATGCATCACACGGTTTGCAAATTCTGCTTCCTGGGTCTCAAACAGGCAGTGGAAAAACTTCAGCAGGCAATGACCTTTTCGAGGAGGCTCCTCAGTCGCCACTTCTTCTGCTCTCTGAAGCAAGAAAGGCTTCACAAGGTCAGATGTCTTGCACTGCAGAGTCTGCTCAAGAAAGATGCGCACCTTTTCACTGCACAGGCCAAATACGAAGCATACCGTTAATGTCAAATGCTCATTGCCTGGCTTCTCGCACTCAGCTAAAAGTGTCTTCAAGTCCCCCATACTGTTATCTGAAACTTCCATTGAGTCCTTCTGCAGAATATACCACATGGCAGCAAAAAACTCCTGGAAGCAAAGATGGAGAAAACTGTACAGGTTGTGCCGGCCAACCCCCCTCTGGAATGTTCTTCTGTCTAGAAAGAGGTCTTTAAGAGCAGAAACCTCCAAATGATGCTCCTTGAGATCCTGCTCCTCAAAGAGGATTTTCTGTCCCAGGATGCCAGCCCGTGCCAAGGAACAGAGCCTTCCGAGCTCATTCAGAGAGGAGTTCTTCCATTTTGCAGAATCATGCTTAAGGAGATTGTGAGAAAACTGTACAAAGACTTTTGTTGTGGTGTCCAAGGTGTCTGCAATCTCGTCTTCCGTTTCCAGTTCAACTCTGATGACAGAGCAGATGATCCAGCACACCATGGGGATGAAGCAGATGGTAGAGACTGCACTGGTATTTTCAATGAATCTCAGTGCTAGGTTGGCTTTCTGATCATCTTTAAAGAACTTGAAAAAATACTCACGACGACCTTTCTCAGTGAATCCAAGGATCTCAGCAAATCTCGGAAACTTCAAGCACCCATGCAGCCTCTCTGCAGCACCAGGTCTTGTGGTGATTAACAGGTAGGATTTGGGCAAAAGCTTCTTTCTCAACAAGCTGCTCAGAACACCCTGTATGGACACCTTTGAATAAGGATCATCACAGAAACTGTCTCCTATGAGCTCTAAGGAGCAACAAAGCTCATCAAAGCCATCAATGATGAAAAGCAGCTTTTCAGGGTGGGCTAAAATCCCTTTCACTGGGGCATACATGTCTTGACACTGATCTACAATAAGGTCAGCCAGGCTGCTGGCATCTTCAGCAAGGCTTAGTTCTCTGCAGCGAATACAGAACATGTAGTCAAAGACGTCCTGGTACAGCTCCCCAGCAGCCCAGCCCAGCATAATCTTTTGCACGGTCATCGTTTTACCAATACCAGCTGGTCCTTGCAACACCACGGTTCTTGGGGCTATTCCCGAGTCATCAGGTTCAAAAAGGCTTTGTATATCAGTTGATGAATAATCTGAACTGTTGGTTTCCAAGATGTCCATGTGCAGCCTGCCAGTAGCAACCAATTCATGTTCCCTCTGCTTCAGAGGCCGGTGTTTTTTGATGATAAGTAACTCTATATAGCGGGCATTTAATGGGGTGCTCTCACCAAAGAGACTGTTTCTGTCCTCTGTTAGCAAGTATTCTTCCTTCACATTCTCAGCATACTTTTTTTTGTAATCTAGTATAGACAGAGAGAAGGATTAACCACCTGCCATGGCATTGCAACATGCTTCCCTGATGCCAGGCACCCTTGATTTCCCAGTGGTCCCTTGTCTATGCAGACCCTCTAAGTTAAAGAACTTTTCTTTTGCTCAAGACTACCAAGGTCTGTGTTTGCAAGTTTGCAGAGTTCATAATAATAATAATAATTTATACCCCGCCCATCTGGCTGGGTTTCCCCAGCCACTCTGGGCGGCTTCCAACCAACTATTAAAAATACATTAAAACATTCAAATACCCTGAATCAGGCATATCGTTTGCCTGCACTGTTTCTGAATTGACCCTATTGTTGAGGAAAACCTAAACTAGCATACATCTCTTTCACTTTGGCTCTACTTTATGGGATCTGTATTTCCCCCCATCATAAACAAGATATATATGAAAATGTACTGACTCATGGGCAGGTCAAAGTGCACACGGCTGGTAAAAAAGTGTCTGTAGTCACAGAGGGGCAAGTGGGTGTGGTCAATTTGTATCTTTGTTTTTTTGCTTTGGAAAGAACAAGTTTTCAGGAAAACCTTTTGGCATCAGAAGGTTACAGCAGGGGATGTCTGGGAGTGGTCAGTATTTTAAAATATATATTAAAAAGTCAACATTGAAGGGAGGGGCCTGGGGACACAGAAAACCTTTTGGCACCACAGGTATACCTATGGGAGCAGAAACTAAACAGATTAAAAAAGAAAAGGAGGGGCATAGGAGCGAGCAATTAAAGAAAGTTACTTAAAACAAAAAATTCAAATGTGGGGGAATCTTTGGGAGCCACAAACAATCTCTTGGGAGGCCAGATGCTGATCACCACTGACCATTTTAGAGTTCATCCGCAATGCTAGAAGAATAACTCTAGTCCTGTTCTGTTTAGCATCAGCTCTCTATTACAACTCCCTCCCTCTTAATACTGGTACAGTGCAATATTCCCAAATTAGAGAGCGATGCAAATACTTACATCTTCCAGAGGCCATGCTTACCTGATATCTGCAGTTATGCCTCACAATCCTGTGGTTTTCCAATTTTGTTTGCTTTTCTCCTTCAAACATATTCTACAAATTACTGAGCCTCAAGAGTCTTTTTGGCTCTCTCTAGGCTGCTTTCGAAAAGTTAGGACAAGGGATCCACTTATCTTGAGTTCTAGACTAAAACTTACAATGGCTTATGATGAGGTGCTTACATACCTTGAAATTGCTTCCCAACCTCTGAAAAAGAAATAAAATAAGTGGTCAGACATTTTTGTATTGCGAACAGTAGGTTTTTAACTCTGGTGGTCATAATGTATAGGAAAGTTGAAAGCATCACTGTACATACCAAGCCCCTTCCTGCAAATCTGAGTTCAGGCCAGCTTTGAAACAGGCTTTGAGGCTTTAGGTCAACTAGCATATGGAATCAAATTCAGTTCTATATCATCTGCATCACAGGTGGGCAACCTGCAGCATGGCAGCCCCATGTGCCCATCCCAACCCTATTTTATGCAGCGCCCCCCCCATGCCTCATCCCCCCCATCCGATTAGAGTTCTTTCCTTCCTTTTCATTTTCTCCTTCTTTTCCTTGGCTTTTAAAAGTCTCTCCCTCCCTTTGCTTGTAGTTTCAGAACAAATGGAAGGAACTGTATTTTAGCAAGTGAAAGTAAACTGATGGTGTTTAAAAACGTTTTGCTTGGTTAAATGGCTTGAGGAAAGTAAGTTTCCCCCCAGCTATCTGAGAACGTTTTGGAAGGTTTCTGTCAGAAAGGAATTACTTTCACTTGGGCTGTAGAGTCTACACCAGGGCACTAATGTGAACACGAGTAATTATTTTCTCTCTGTGTGTATGTGTGCCTTCATCCACAAAGGAGCAATTTCAATTTTATGCCTCTAAAACCTATCTCAATGTTTCCAGTCCTCAATAGCGGTGGGGCTTGATGGGATGTATTGCACTGTGTGTTGCTGGCCCTGTCCCCTCAGTTAGTACGTTCCTGCCCATCATAAGTTCTGGATACCTGAGGTCCCTTGTGGGAATGCAAGCAGGTGTTTGTTTACCCCTACATGCACCTTTAATTTTTTTTGTAAAAAAACAAAAACTGAAATACAAGTTTTAAAATATACCAGATTTTCACAGAACAGTCAGAAATAATTTTAAAAATGTGTGTGTGTGGCTCCAAGCCAGGAAATCTAGGCCACTTGTAGGCTTGATCACAGATATGTGTTCACCTGTGTGTGCACATGTTCCAAATTATTTTATTTTATTTTATAAATAACAAGTTTTCATATATACCAGATTTTCACAGAAGAGCAGTAAAAAGAAAGAAATAATGTGTCACCCCAAGTCTGGAAAGGATTTGTGTGAAGGGCTGCTGTTTCCTTTCCTCTCCTTTTCCCTTCCAGCCTCTTGTTACCTGCAATGGCAATTTTTGTTTTGTGCCAGAGAACTTCCACAGAAAGGAGTCACTTTTGAAAAATAAAGAATAAAAATACAATGAACTTGTAAAATTGTGACATGAGCAGAACTAGGGGTGAATGAACAGCCTCTAAACCATGGGTAAGCAAACTAAGGCCCAGGGGCCGGATCCGGCCCAATCACCTTCTAAATCCAGCCAATCTCTGGGTTATTTGTGGGGCCTGCCTGGTGTTTTTACATGAGTAGAATTTGTGCTTTTATTTAAAATGCATCTCTGGGTTATTTGTGGGGCATAGGAATTCGTTCACGTATAAAAAAAATCAAAATATAGTCTGGCCCCCCACAAGGTCTGAGGGACAGTGGACCGGCCCCCTGCTGAAAAAGTTTGCTGAGCTGCAGTCAATTATATAGCACATTATATCTTGGTGAGTACAAATCCATACCCTTGCTGAGTTTAGAAGCATTGTACTTGAGACCAATGTCTTCAAAAATAGTTATCATCAGGGCAGCAGCCTCTTCCTCATAAAACTCAACCAGAAGCTCCACCATCTTCTCCCGAGTTGCCTTCTCCATCCGTCCAAGTGGAATATTCTTACCCCCGGGAGCCGCTGCAGTACGCAACTTAAACTTAAACTTCTCAAAATCTTCTTGGCCAAGATCCTCTAAGGCGTCTAGTAGGAAGTCCTGCATTGTGGCTCCTCCTCCTGACTCCATCGCCAGCTCACAGCCAGGCTGCAAGCAAAGAACCATTTTAAGTGCCAGAAGAAAAGATGTCGCCTGCCCATCATGCAGTAACTCACACGAGCAAGGCCTCTGGAATACATTTTGTAGGTTTCCGGGTGGACAGAAGGGAAGGGAATAACACTGACATCACATACCAACTTTAGGATCCATGTGTGGGTCTTTACCATACCCATACCCATATTACACAGAAGCAGCCCACCTAGCCATCCACCCCGTATTTACATCTGCCACTGCATATTTCCAAAACAAGAACCACTTTGGAACTGTACTGCCTGAACAAGGGATGTAAATCTGCAATCCAAATCCATTTATGTGGGACTAAGTCCCAGTTAATTAAGTAGGACTTACTTCTGAAAGATGTGGTTAGGGTTGTACTACAGTGGTGCCTCGGGTTACATATGCTTCAGGTTACAGACTCCGCTAACCCAGAAATAATACCTTGGGTTAAGAGCTTCAGGATGAGAACAGAAATCGCGCGGCGGCAGCAGGAGACCCCATTAGCTAAAGTGGTGCTTCAGGTTAAGAACAGTGTCAGGTTAAGAACGGACCTCCAGAACGAATTAAGTAATTAACTCGAGGTACCAATGTATTAATCATGTTCTGTGGAAGCGTGCAGCGAGGATGTTTTTGCTCGAAATTGGGTTTAAAGGGTCCACAAGATGTGTGGCAGGCTGGGGAGCTTTTGCTTTTGACCCAGCCCTCTAGGAACAAGCACTAGTGAGGTCTCATCAGCACCACACCTTTAAATAAGCATTATCCCACTTAAGTCAGTCCTTACTTCCCTCAAAGCAACCTGGGAAGGAAGCATAGCTTGTTAAGGGCGCTGAGAGTTGTTAGGAGACGCCTGTTCCCCTCATGGAGCTACAGTTCACAGAGCAGTTTTAACAATTACTTCCTTTTCCCAACGAACCCTGGGAATTGTAGTTCTGTTTAGGGAACAGGCATCTCCTAAAAGCACCCATAATGAACTACAGTTCCCAGGCTTCTTTGGGGAAGCCACGACTGTTTAAATCAGGGGTGCCCAAACTTTTTTCAAAGAGGGCCAGATTTGATGAAGTGAGCATGCATGAGGTCCGACCAGCTTTTTAAAAGACTTTACCCCAAGACATATACTACCACGGGGGCCGCATTAAATCGACCTGGCTGGACATGCCTGGTTTAAAGCATGGGTGGGCAAACTGAGGCCCAATCACCTTCTAAATCTGGCCCGCAAATGGTCCAGGAATCAACGTGTTTTTACATAAGTAGAATGTATAGTCTGGACTCCCACAAGGTCTGAGGCCCGGTGGACCGGCCCCCTGCTGAAAGTTTGCTGACCCCTGGTTTAAAGTGATGTGGTACTGCTTTAAATCCTTAAAGAATGTCAAAGAAATAAACAACTATCTGACTTTTAGAAGACATCTGAAGGCAGCCCTCTTAAGGGAAGCTTTTAATGTTTGATGTTTTCTCATGTTTTTAATATTCTGTTGGGAGCCGCCTAGAGTGGCTGGGGAAACCCAGCGGGGTGGGCAGAGTATAAATAATAAAATAATAATAATAATAATAATAATAATATAATAATAATAATAATATAATTATTATTATTATTATTATTATTATTATTAGGATCATAATGAACTAGAAAGAAATCACCTACTACTCAAAAACAAGTTTGGTTTCTCCCCACAACCCTTTCTCCCCCGCTCGCCCTTCTGAGCAAAACACCCCCAGCTTTTCAGACGCGCTCTACAGCTCGACTTCGGCCATTATCATCCGCCAGGTCCTGCCTGACCTGTTCCTTCACAAAAGGTTTCTAATAAGTCTTTCTCACCAAATGCCCGTCCCTCTCAGCTTCCCCTTCTCCGCCCCTACAGGAAAACACCTCCCATTCCGCCCAGCCGCCAGGCGGCCTTGTCAGGCGCGACCCTCCCGCCACCCCGTCCATTGCGACACGAGCGGGGCGGGGGTCGCATTAAACAGCTGCCTCGTCGTTTATTCAGTTTCAAGTGGCCCCTGTTGCCCCATTTCCCCAGCCCACAGTGCGGCCAGGCTTGGCCCCACTGGCGGAAGCACTCCGGCGGACTGGAAGGCGAGCACATTCCCGCCACCACCCAGGGGGAACTTTCTTCCCAGCTCCTAATGGCGCCTCCTTTGGCCGCCCACGACCTCGTTGCCGTCTCTAGGCAAGGCTGGCTGGCGTTGCAGATGCATTTGGGGCGGGGGGACAGGACGATGGGCAGCAGACTCACCTCTCCAGTCCAGGATAAAGCAGCCGAGCGAGAAAGTGAAAGTGACGTGGCTCAGGCGGCGGGGGAGGGGGAGAGAGGTGCCCTAAGTCAGGCTTTCGATTGCATATCAGGCATGGCCAAACTTGGCCCTCCAGATATTTTTGGGACTACAACTCCCATCACCCCTAGCTAACAGGACCAGTGGTCGGGGATGATGGGAATTGTAGCCCCAAAAAACATCTGGAGGGCCAAGTTTGGCCATGCCTGGATATGCAGTGCGGATAGAAGCCTTCGCCAACCTGGTGCCCTCCAGATGGCATGCATTGCGACTCCCATCAGCCCCCAGCTATCATTGGTGCGCTGGTTTGGGGTAATGGGAGTTGTAGACCCAAACTTCTGGAGGGCAACAGGTTAGCAAAGGGTGGTGTTTATGTTGTTGCGCGCCCCCCCCCCCATTTCTCTTCCAGGCCAGGGAACGTTTTCGGTTGGTGGCACAGACCATTTGGGGCTCAGCGTAAATAGAAACTGCACTCTTTCAGGGGGACGTCTATTGTTGAAAAGGCAACTTAATAAAACAATAAAACTGGTAAAAAATAAATGAAACTTAATAATTATTTAATTAGTTATTTACCACCCTCTGCCCTAAAGTCCCAGGCAGGTTACAGCATTAAAGGCAACATTTAAAACAACCACTCACCTATTTGTCTATAAATAACATATTCACCTTGGACTTTACTTCTGCTTAACCTAGGGTACCCCTCTGCCAGATATTGTTCGACTACAACTCCCATTGCCCCTGACCTTGCTGGCTGGGGCTGGTTGGAATTGTAGTCCAACAGCCAGAGGACAGTGTTAGCTACCCCTGCCTTGCACTTTCACTAAGGGAAAGGCACAACTTGCACAGAATACTGTACTCTAATGATGGGTTGTGTCATTATCAATGAATTGCTTGCATTTCAGAAAACATTCTATGACTTCTTGTCATCATGAGGAATTTAGTATCACTGAATCAGTGTCTTTGTTTCTGAGAACCATTGTTCTGATTTCTATTCTGAAATAAAATGCAGTTTTCTTAATCTTCATTCATCCAGGATTGACCAGTGCCTTTTCCTTCCATGCAGACTTTCCCCCTTTATTTTATCTCTTTATGTGTTTCCCACTTTCTTTTTGGGAAACTGGGTGGCCAAGGTGGGGTGTTATGTGATGCACATTTGTAGAAATTAGAATCAACACCAATTTGAAATAAAATGTAGCTGGTTGTATGAGGGGCAGCTGAAAGGCTGACTGGAAGCTCCTCTTCCTGTTTCCATTCAGGCTGCCAGAGGAAAAACAGTGGCTGCACCATGGCCAACAACATGTCTAGGTTCAGGTAGGTGGCCGTGTTGGTCTGACACAATCAAAATAAATAAAAAATTAAAAAATTGTCCAGTAGCACCTTAGAGAGAACAAACTTAGTTGGTCTCTAGGGTGCTACTGGACAATTTTATTTTTTTTGAACATGTGTAGCTAGGATAAGCTGAAACCTTTACTCAGCCTCAACTCGGGAGACCTGGAGCAGGGCCTTTTCCCTAGTTACACCCAAGAGCTGCCTCATGTTGTACTTAAAACTCGCTTCCTCCTTGCCCACTGGCCATGCTGACTGGGGCTGATGGGAATTGGGAGCCCAAGAATATCTGGAGGGCCACCAGTTCCTCATCCCTGCTCTAGAGGCATGGATAGCTTTGACATGGCTCAGAGTTTGTGGCATGGTGAATAAATGGTGGTTTGCCCCAGCTTTCAGTGCCTATTGTTATTTTAAAATTAACTAATATATAACTTAGGCCAAAATAGGCATCTAAGCAGTATACTATTTATATCTATTTTTATTATTAGTTGTTCATTTGATTTATTACCCAGTGCTCACCATCAAGTTCACAGCAACTGAGCTGAATCGAACTACCTGGTCCTACTGGTAGTAGCCAGGGCAGATTCTCCACTAGCAAAGTGGGGCTACCCTCTTCTCTCTCTGCATCCCCGCAACACCTCCTCCACATGCACTCGGGTCGGAAGAACCCCCAGAACAGCACATGGGGGATATTGTTCCACTGGGCAAGCAGATTTCATCTCCTAGCACAACACTGAATTCCACAATATTAAAATAAAAATAAATTTACACAAACATTTAAAATGTTTACCCATGGATACACTGGGGAGCTGCAAGTGTCCACCAATATTTTCTTGGACACTCACACTATTCTGGCATTGGATGGGCTAAATACACGGTGGCAATATCCCTTATGCACACCCATCCCAAACTCTAGCTGCAGACTGACCAGACTTGTTAAGCACAGGAGGTTTTATTGTTGAAACACAAATGGAAAAAAAGATACCCCAAGTTACATCAGAGAATACAAAATACTTAGAAAACTAAGCCCCCCTCCCTTGGCACATAAGTCTCCCCCTGCCCCCAAAACATACTGCACATTTATTCTGTTGGACAACTGCAGCGAATTAAATCGATACCTTCCAGCAGCAAAAGTCAGCCGCAGGATGCTCTGACTGTGTATATTGAAACTGCCCACTATGCACAGTCCCAACATCCTGGTCTGTTTCAACTGTTAAAAAACAACATCACCACCATCATTGTGTTCTCAGAAATGAAGATTTGGTTTCATAAAGATTCTGTTAAAGAGAGCTTTGCAAGCGCATAAATCGGCTTGTATAAAAACCACATAACATGCTCTTGTACAATTTAGCCATTTCAGGTGGAAATCACCCGCACAAAGTCACAGGCTCCAAACAGGGGATGCAGCTTCCCAAGGGGCAGAGACGAGCGTAACTCCCATCCATATTAAGAAATGAAGAAACTTGATGTCTGATCGTCAGCTTCGTAAACAGCTGCACATTTTTTTCCAGGTTGGCTCCCTGCCAGCCTCCGCCACCCTATGTCAGCGTTTCACCTTTTGTTACCTGTCAAAAGAAAGAAGAGAGCTTGCTTGCCTTGCAATGTGGTTTCCTGGGAGGGGAAGGGGGAAGGGGATATTCCTAAGTTTCTTTAGGAAACTTATATGTAGTATTAGTGCAAGAGTATAGATATTATTATTTTTTGTGTGCACACTTGATCACATAACACCTTAAAATCTAAAAATAAAGCAAAAGTAGCTGGGCTGACCCATATGAAACAAACCCAAATCCATGTAAGGTCAATACCTTCACTATGCCAACCAAAATTTCAGAAAATAGCACCAATAACCTATTTCATGCGACTTTGGTAGCACTTTTGTAAACTGCTTTAAATAAAAGATATCAAGGAGTGTATACATGTTATGAAATATATAAATAATACATGTACATTCCCCCAATATGATAACTTAAAATCGAATACAGCGTTAAGTGTAGTGGACTTTTTCTGGGTGGAATGTGTGGGCCAAATATGTGTGATGAAGAAGGCTCCAGGCAACAACAAAAAAGGCTTGCATCACAATGTGACTGCCTTCTCCCTTATACGCTAGTTTTCTATGTACAGGAAGGTTTGGGAGGAAAGGCAGAAGCTGACTGGAGGGCTTTTGCATTGCAGAGGGTTGAACTAGACGACCCATGGGGTGCCTTATCTATGAATCATTCAAGCACACAAGGGCCATAGCTAAGTGGCAGCGGTTCCATTGCAGGCATATCCAGTTAGCCCTGCCAAGATCCCTTGACTGAAATCCTGCAGAGCCACTTGCCCATCAGCACAGGTCATACTAAGCTGGGTGGTCCAGATCTGACTCAGCATTTGGCGGCTTCTTACATCCCTGCGCCCAACCTGCTGCCTGACCACTTGGTGCCTCTCAACCTCCGGGGAGGGCATAAGCAAGCCTGGCTTCCGTGCCTGGAGGAAGCCCGCAAAAGGGAGCAGGGGGTCGTGGCAGCAGAATCCCCGAAGCCAAGTCGGCCGCGGGTGCAGCCAGCCAGGCAAAGGGGGTCATCGCCTTCCGGGGTCCCCCATCCTAAGGAGCAGCCGCCGCCGCCGCCTTACCCGGGCCTCGATGTATTCGATCCGCCTCTCCAGCGCCGTCAGCTTCTCGTTGAGCGTGGCCAGGCGCGAGCGGCAGGACATGTCTGCAGGCGGAGAAAAGGGAAAGTGAGAGATGGGTAACCAGCGCCCCCAGTCAGACACCCCCCCGCCCCGCTTGGCAGGGATCGCGACCCCCATAGGGAAGGAAGGAAGAAGGTCGGGGCGGCGGCTTCTGTACCGAAGGAATTGAGGAAGTCCGCGATCTTCTTGATGGAGCTGGTGATCACCTCGATGTACTCGCGGTTGGCCCAGTCCTGGTGGATCTCGCGCTGAACCGGGTCCTCCTGCACCGACATGGCCGACAGCTGGGAGCAGACCACCCCCCCTCCCCGGACGCTGCTGCGCTTGCGCACAAGACGCAGCCCGTCTCCCCAGGCTTGCTTTTTCCTGTCTCGCAGGAGCAGGCCCAAGGTTGCAGTACGCGTGCGCCGTCCTTCCCTGGGCCCCGCCCTCCCCAAACCCGCGAGTCTGCGCACTGCGGCAAGTCTGGACTTGCTGAGCAGATGCAGAGACAGAATTGGCATTTGGGTTTGTTGTGGGTTCAATCTTTTGCTTGTATTTCTCTTTTGAGGCCCAGTAGTGAGGGCCTTTTTTAGATTAAGGAAAGTCAAGTCTACCATACCTAAAGCCTGCAAGGGGGAGATAGCAAGAGTGGGAGTCTTACGCTTATAAATCATGCGAAGTCAATTTCAAACATATTTGTGCTTCTTACGCTTTTAAGAAAAGGGCTAAGAATACACTGTTTTGGCTACAATACTTCTCTTTCCTGATGTTGTGGTTTACCAGATTTTCTTCTTTTTCATAGCTTTGATGTGTATCTGCAGAAGCCAATATTGCAGCATTGTGTACTACTTTTACACTCTGGAATTAATGTTTCTCTGGACTTGAAAGCTTACGATGCAAAAACTCCTTCCTTCATAGCCATTATGAGGGAAGAAACTGCTGTGCCCCTACGATAAAGCATTTAAAACTGTACAAAATCAAGCATTATAGTTAAAGGCCTAAGGGACTTTAAAAAGCAGGACTGCCCAAATTTAAAATGCAAATCCCACACCTTAAGACATATTCAAACCCCAGTTAACACCCCTGTAAGATAAAAAGTTACAAAAACAAGAGACATATTTGCTTTCCTTCCCAACTAATTCTTTGCTTACTTACCATTTTCTTACACTCTGGAAAGCTACATGTATTTCATATTAAAAAGAGATAACAGCAATACTTGAAAGACTAAAGCTAGTTGGGCAATTCAGGACAGCAATATTTATATTTTTCCAATGTGTAGACATGGACATGATTCCATAGCATTCAATTGCCCTATTTAAATGCTTATAGACAATGTCATAGAAGTCTTGAAATGACTTGGTAAGGGACACAAATGCTGAAGGTTAATTAAACCTACAGAAATGTCATTAGAGCCCCTTTAGAACTATAAACACTTGCCACAGCATGCAACAGTTAGGATTTCTAATTTATTTAGTAAATTTGTGAATGAAACTCCAAAGATCTTAATACATATTTCTGCATGTAGCACTACAAACAACACAACAGTCTAGAACACTATACAAATGAGCAATGAAATATTTTCATGAGACGAAAGCAACCAAAATGAACATTTTAGTATTTTTTCAAATGTTTAATCAAACATTTCAAATGTTGATTCTTGATTCCAATGAAAAGTTGTATGTTTTGTTTTTACATATCACGAGTGGAGAATATTTAGGGATGGACAGAGCAAGGCATATGAGAGAGGAAAAGGGAGACAGATTTGGATGCAAGGAGAAAAGTGCTTTGAATTTCAAGGTGCAAATTTTCTAGAGATCCACATAAGCTCACTGAAGCACAGGTATTCTGGACACACAATCCATTCAATGTTTGCTTCCTTTAATTTACTGGTTCCAGTAATTATGCCATGAAGAATTAAGCCGGTATAGCCCATGCTAATCAGAGCTGTCTTCATCACTGTCTTTGATATCCATCCCATCTTCATTCTCTGAATCTTCCCCTTCCTCCTCCTCCTCCTGGGAAAAAAAAATCATGGCACTGATGCACAAGCGGTGAAGATTATGGGATACAGATGTATGCACATTATCTATAAGCATTTTCATTGAGCTAGCCACCACAACCCCAAATATTTCTTGGCCTCTCACCACCAGTTTAAACCTTATTAGCATATATGTAAAGTTAGGGGTGGGTTTCCCCAATGTGCAAATTGCTGCCTTTCCATGTCTAAGAAAGGAATGGTTCAGAGTGCCATTTTCATCTTAATCTTATCTCATTAGGCTAACCGGATTATGCCCATTTGTCAGCCTACCCCCCCCCCCGGAGCCTACAGACTGCAGCTCATTTCGTGCAAAAGATGTTGGTGAGAAAGACGCAACAGTGGCACAGCTCAGATTACAACAACAGTGAAGACATCTTATCATTGGGCATTTCCTGTACCAGAAACAGAACGATAATCTTGACCCTTCCCCTACTGCAGAATATAATGATTATAAAAACAACAACCACAACCACAATAGTTGCTTTAGAGAATTACCTCTGTGGGAAGCTTGGAAATCTCCTCCTCCATCTTGCTAGCTTGGGATGCCTGTGAAAGAATCTCTTCTCCCTAAAATGGACACAATAAACTTATGATGCCACTCAAAAATGGAACTCTCCTCTCTCTTGACTGGCTTTCTGCTACTCTGTGAAGACCTTTCATTTTAGACATGCATTTGACTCCTGGCATATGACTATTTGGTTTTAAAGCTCTTTTGGTTGCTGTCCTTGCCCCTTTTTAGCTGTTCTTGCATTTGTCACAGACTGTATTTTGAAGAAATAAATACAATAAATAAAAAAATTGTCCAGTAGCACCTTGGAGACCAACTAAGTTTGTTCTGGACAATTTTTTTATTTATTTCGACTGTGTCAGACCAACACGGCTGCCTACCTGTGAAGGTGTGTTTGAGCTGCCTCAAACATTCTACTGGAAGGACTCGGCACAAATACTTTTAATTTAAGAAAGGGCTTATTTTTTATTCTATTTCACTTAAATACTGTGTGTGTCACTGTTACCCGTATATCATTCAATTGAAGAGGATAATCACACTGTCAGCAAACTGGCTTCCAAAAAAAGCCAGTACTGAAAATTAATTTCTTTGAGTTCAGAGGCCCTTTCAGATGATCTCCATCGAAATAAATCATTCAAGTTAGCAACAACTAGACACTATGACGCTATCTGCACCATGGATAAGAGAAGAACCCAGATCAATACAACGTTGCAGTTGCACATGGCTCATCTAGTTCCAACAATTTTAACTTTACCATTTCTTCACCGTACAGAGCTTGCTTAGTGTTCACTCAGCTTTCTAAAAAGACATCTGATAACATAAAAGTTATGATCTTCCATGTTTTTAAATGTTATTTACTCTGCTAATACTTGAATAATGATGTCCATTCAAATTCCACCAAGCTCAGTCAATGAGCCATTCACAAGAAACCAAGTAGTGCTGTACACATATATATATTCTCACCTGCAGATCCCTGTTTTTGAGGACGCCCACCCAGAAAGCTTCCTGACAATGATTGAGAGCCAGCATTGCTTTCACTCGGTAAACAAACAGCTCAAGGGATTTCTTCAGTAGCGGTACATGGCTGGTGAGTCCTGTGTCTTGATGAATCTACACATGGAAGAAATGCACAGAAGGAAATTAACAATCCTTATCTGCATATTTTTCTGTATTTAATCAGGATTGTTCAGTTTGGTTTGGGATATAGGAAATCTGGCTTCAAACCCTGTTTTATGAATGCACTGAATGGCATTCAGCAAGGTTTTATCTCCCTGTCTCTGCTATGATGGAAATAATGACCTTCAATATGGTTGTTATAACTAAATAGTATAAAGATTGTAAAATGTATATTATAAACTTAAGAGTGCTATTGATATTGTAGCTTGTTGCCTTTCGACAAACTTGCTCTTTCTTCTGAAGTCTGTCTTCTACCTCCCCTTCTCTCCCAGTTGCTAACTCTAAAAGGACAAGTGTAAGGTCAAGGAACAAGTTGTAGGCAACAGGACTGGCAGTGGGGCATAGGGGAGCAGGAAAGGGTCTGCTGCCATAAATATAACCTTCTTAAGTTGATCAGGGTTGAATATTATATTATTATTATTATTACTACTATTATTATTTTACAACAACAAAAAACAATATCAGGAGTAGCAAAACAGATGATGACAATTTAGCCTTCCAGAAGAATATACCTGTGGTTGTGATATGTCCATAATAATAAAGGTCAGACTTACAGGCTAGTAGCAATTACCTTATAAAAACGTTAGCCGGAGCCTTCTTATTATGCACGGACAGGAATGGATAAAGCAAGAATAGCTGGAGGACAACCTGGAGATTCCCAGCCTTTACTGGATTTGCAATTCATTACAAATAATCACTGAAATGGGAAGACTGAGCATACTCTGATAGAGAGCTTAAAGCAGATTGACCAGATTGTACTAAATTAGAAGCCAACAACTTTTTTGTAGCCTTCTTTACCTTGGAATGGCCACATATGTGGTGAAGTTGTCTAGTGCTCAGCTGCAAGGTTTTCAGCAAACTCTGCACATCCTCCTGGAAGGCGGAAGAAAACCATTTACAAGCCTGTTCAAAACTGCCACCTATTGGGCTACTTGGAATACTGCATTATCACTAACTCAAGGCTCTATTTTCACTCAATGGGGTATACTGAACCAATTAGGACGGCTTTGCATATTACATCACACCAAACTCAGGTTTGCTACCAAGTGTACAGTCTTGGTTCCTGGACAAGTGTACTTGTATGATGCCCATATTTGCCACATGTCCCCTAAACCTCTTTGAGATGTACATTTAAAAGTAACACACGAAACAGCCCTTATCTGAGTTACTGTCTTACTATTATCGCATGCTCTGGGTCATGGCACATTTGCAAGGAAGTGTCACTAAGGCACATAATTTGTTTCACCCACTGTTCAGTTCTCAGATCAACTCAGTTATACCAAACATTCCCCCCCCCATTTTCATTGTATCATTTGCACAGTCACTATACTACATGCTTAAAAAGAGCAGCCACAAATTGTTCAGTCCATTCATTCCCATGTCAATCAAAAGACAGCCCTGTTTCCAACACCTTACCCTGTGTTTTTTAAAGCTGCAGTCCAATAGGGGCATGCCAAGCTTCAAGAATGTTTCCACAAAAAGACGCCCATACTGTGCGGAGCAAAGACAAAAAGGCAGAAAATGTGGTAATTGCTTACAAAAATTAGGAGATGCTATTTGAACAAGCCACAAGTTTACATCACAGAGCATGGAACCTTGCATATTTGTTTATTTCCCTTTCCAGCTTAATCAGGGAAGAAGTATTA